GCAGTGATTGGACGGCCACTAGGAACGACTCGTACGCCTCTCGCACACTAGCTGGGGCTGTAGGAAATTAGGACGCGAACGGAAGGGAAGGGGGGGCAGATGCGAGAGAATGGGGAGGCGGGACAGTGAGCAGTGATTGGACGGCCACTAGGAACGACTCGTACGCCTCTCGAACAGTGGCAGGGGCTGTAGGAATAGGGTACGGGAAGGCAAAGGGAGGGGAAGGGAACAGAAAGGAAGGGGAAGGCAAAAAAGTCTTCACCAATTTCACCAATTTCACCATTCTTCCAGAACCGCTATGACATACCATGCGTCACCAGTAACAGTACCACAGTCACAGCAATAGGATACAGTACCCATCAACAGCTCACCTTTCTCCCACTCGGGAACCAGTCTCTGTGCCAGTGACGTGGCACCCACTGCTGGTGCCACGTGGCCTGCTTCTGCTGACGTGGCGCCAGCTGAGCTGCTTCAGGACCAAGAGGAAGGCCATGGGAATGCGCGGGAAGGAAAAGGGAAAGGGATGGGTGAGTATGTTCATCAGTTGACCTATATGTGACAAGTGAAAGGAAACAACCAACGTGAGTCTTGGCATCAAGAACAAACGGAGGTGCAAGTATCAGTAACACTCGCACATACCACCCACATACTGCCATCCCAACACATGTTCGTTGATCTCCCTGAATTGCCGCGCCGGTCACTCAAGATGCGACTACGGTCTGGTAACCACGAATTTCGAACCTTCGCCGCGCGAGAGCCTGTTTTCGCTGCAGCAGCTGCTGATCCACGTCGAAGGGACGCCCGCCATCCCGCACCAGCACTCGCAGCGTCGACGGCACTCGCGGGACCTCCAACGACGTGCCTACAATTTCGCCGAACGCCATTGTTACCAAGCCAGTGAGCTGCGATTCTGGTAAGCGACAGCCGCGACGAGGTAGCGACGGCTGCGACGGGTTCAGCGAGAGCTGTGATTGCTATGTACGATAGGTGCTAAGTGTGCGATTACGTACGAACGGCAGTTGTACGACTGTGAACGATTGACAGGTATGCGACTACAGAAGGCAGCTACGCGACTATGAGGGCAGCGGCTGCGGGTGGGGGAGCACATAAACGCGCGGACGGTGGACGAATTTAACTCTGCATCCGTGAAGAAACGCAAGATACGATATCAGATACGTGAAAGAAACACTATGGAATGAAAAAGAGGCGCAGGCGAGAGAAGCGTAAAATCCTGTGTGTAGTCAAGTAAATCCCCGCTTGAATGTACCTGAAATCCGCGTTTCTAGACTTCGGCTCATGGAGAACCTGCTATTCGTGACTCAAGCCGCGTGTCAGATCACGAAACGTTCTTTGCCGTTGGTCTGACGGCGTACGTGCAACGTACAGTGAGTGATCCTGATGATTGCGAACTATGTTGGCGTCGTCGACCACTCAATGGAGGGAACGACCTGTCAGATCGCAGACGCGAATTTAGTAACCACAGAATTTCTTGCAGACTTATCGCCCGTACCCGCGAAGTGCCGCCGCAACAAGGCGTCGCTGACACGAAGCGGAAAGACGTCGCAGTAACCTCATGTTTCCGGTCACACACAGATTCCCCAACATCAAGCAGAAAAACCAAATGTAGCGTACCGAGATCGAACTTCCATGATCGGAACTCTGGAACTTCCCAAAACCCTAATTTCAGATGTGGACACTGGCTGCAGCCGACATTTGTTGCATAAAACGTGGCCTCAAATACGAAATCCGACCGACTTCCATTCGAGGTTACCGAGGCAAGGAGCTGAGCTCTTGTTGATATCCCCCTACATACGTACACCCGCAGACCCAATCTAGGGTAGGCACGCGTTCTAGGGTAGGCCAAGGCACCACGAATCGACCGAGTGCCGGTACAGGATCCTCTGCGAAACTTTCCCGTCTCTCGGCGTCGCTCAAGGCCGCCTTGCTCTCCGCGTAGCTGCGACCTGGAACCCACGCCTTCCGTAATCCACAGGTACTTTGCTAATGACACTCCGCGAGTCTCCACTCTCCGATTACGTTCTTGCGGTCTAGTTCAACTTCTGTCGAAGCGAAAGCGTTGCCACTCGCGGCTTAACTCAACCTATTACCCTCCCGGACCGCCTCTCGTACTCGTCACTCCGCGCCGCGCACCCGTTCCTCTTCGCCCCCGCAGCCGCGATCTACAAACCAAGCTCATTCGTTTTCCCATCGTCCTCGTCTCCACACCCACTGCCAAACCGCATACATTCAAGCGACAGTGGTTTTTGAGGCGCCTCAAAACCCATCTCCACACCCAACTGTCAAGCTTTAAGCGACAATGGTCCCGCCAACGAGGAGAGGAGTGTGGTAGTGGCAATGGATCAATTCAAGTGATACCCACATTCTGTTGTTCCTCCCCTTCCCATTCTCTCTCCCTGTCCTTTCACCTTTGGCAATGAGGACCTTCATAGGCAAGATGGTGATGAGGAAGATGCACAGGAGCGTGGTGATGAGAAAGATGCACAGGAGCGTGGTGATGAGAAAGATGCACAGGAGCGTGGTGATGGCGGTGGGATGAATGCACTGATCCTCCCATCCCTGCTCCCTCCCAGTTTTCCCTTCCGATTCAGACTTCAGTGCACCCTGCACAATGAGGGGTTTCATTCATATGCAAGGTGGTGTCGAATAGGGTGCAGAAGAGCGTGGTGGTGGTGGTGGATCGGTTCAATTCATGCCCCCATCCCGTTTCCTTTTTGTTCACCCTCCTTTTCAAACTCCAGTGCACACACACACACACACAAACACACACACACGCACGCACGCACGCACACACACACACACACACACACACACACACACACACACACACACACACACACACACACACACACACACACACACACACACACACACACAATGAGGAGTTTCATAGGCAAGGTGGTATCATCGAACAAGATGCAGAAGAGCGTGGACCGGTTCAAGTCATGCCGCTCCCATCCCTCCCTGCTCTCTGCCCTTCCCCCGCCCATTCAACTTTAGTGCACACAGACACACATAGACAATAATGAGGAGCTTCATAGGCAAGGTGGTATCGAACAGGATGAAGAAGTGCGTGGTGGTGGCGGTGGACCGGTTCAAGTCATGCCCACTTTCCCTTTTCTTTTCTTCCCCGAATGTTCCTCCCTCCCATGTGTCAGTACACCCTCACACACATAAACACAATGAGGAGCTTCATAGGCAAGGTGGTTTCGAACAAGATGCAGAAGAGTGTGGTGGTGGCGGTGGATCGATTCAAGGCGCACAGCAAGTACCCCAAGGTGGTGCACTCCACCAAGAAGTTCATGGCGCATGATGAGAGCAACGAATGCTCCATGGGCGACCAGGTGAGGAGTGCTAGAAGGGGCATGTTTGATACAAGCATGGGCATGAGCGGCATTGCGTGGCAGCGATCGAGGTCTCACGCACAGCAAGTACCCCTAGGTGTTCATGGTGCATGATGAGAGCAACGCATGCTCCATGGGCGACCAGGTGTGAAGCGCTCTCTGTTGCACCAGCCTTTTGACCTCTTTTCCTGCCCGCCTCTCCTCTTTTCCTGTCCGCCTCTCCTCTTTTCCTGCCCGCCTCTCCTCTTTTCCTGCCCGCCTCTCCTCTTTTCCTGCACGCCTCTCCTCTTTTCCTGCCCGCCTCTCCTCTTCACCTGCCCGCCTCTCCTCTTCTCCTTCCTGCCTCTCTGCTTCTTTTCCCGCCTCTCCGCTTCTCCTGCGCGCCTCTTCTTTTATACCTTCCTCTCCTCCTCTCCTGCTTGCTTTTTATTTGGTTCTAGAAATCGCATTTTTCCTGCCTGTCTCTCCTCTTTCCCTGCCCTCACCTCTTTCGCCGCTGCCTGTATCCACCGTCCTGCCACCTGTCACTCCGTCACAGGTGCGCATCGAGTCATCGCGGCCACTGAGCAAGCGCAAGCACTGGGTGGTCACGGAGGATTCCATGCTCTAAGCCCTTCTGCCTGCCTCTCCTCTTGCCTACCTGTCCTCTTCCCTGCTGCCCATACCCACCACCATCCCAGGTGCGCATCGAGTCATCGCGGCCACTGAGCAAGCGCAAGCACTGGGTGGTCACGGAGGTGCTTCGCAAGGCACGCATCTTCAACATCGATGACACCAAGAGACCAGCTGCTGCTGCTGGTGCTGCTGCTACTGCTGGTCTTAGTGCTGCTGGTGCTGATGCTGGTGTTGGTTTCTGTACTGCTGCTGCCATTCGTGCTGCCATGGTTGTTCAAACTGGGGCTAACCCTATTCCTCCCAATGCGCCGTGATGTGTCTTTGGGGGAACTATACAAAGTATGCATGCATGCCTACGGTAATTGTAGGTAGATTGTATTCCTAGGAATGATCGTCCCAGCTCGCAATCCCTCCAAACTTGAGTCATGCTGCCCGTCATGCTGAGGATTGTGAAACCACAAAGAGAGGGAACTTAATTCACAGGGCAGTGAAGCAGGTATGGAGGGTGCCTGCAAGTGCCGCATGTGTTGCACTTTAATTTACACCCTTACAATATTGCCCACCTGCTAATATTCTGTTCCTTTGTCCAGGAGTATTGCGTATATCTGCACTAAAGATATTCTTGTAGACGGTTTCAATGCCACACGGATTGTATTGTCAGTGACTGAATCGGCCTTTTTTACCACGTGGCACTCATCCACTGAGCACGTCGGTTGTGTCAGCCCGCTTTTCGGGCAGTCACACACTTGGCAATTTTGCGTCCACCAGTAGACCTTGATCTCGCGTGCGCGGTCAGAAATGTACGGTGTACATCGCCCTTTTCGCTGCCATATGTGCTTTCAGAATCACTTTCTGGCCTGTGCCCCACGTTTGGCATCCGAATCTTCTCGCCACGCAACCTGTAAGAAGGGCGTGGACTTTGAGGGCGCGCTGGAACGAAGTCTGATTTAGAGTCCGACACGTTGTAACATAACCAGCATCTCAATTCTGAAATTCGTGTTCTTCGCGATTTTAATGACTGGGTGCACAGATTCTCCTCGCCTGCTATAACGAATTCTGACGAAAGTTGTAATTGTCATTGAGGTTGAAGCTAAGCTGGTCGAAGACGGCAGCAGTAGCCTCCCTCTGCTCTTCGTCGGAATTTATGCCACACTGGACTTTCTTGGGAACACGACCGTAGAAGAGTCATTGAAGCTGGGCACTTTTGCGTGGGTGACGGATTTTGTTTGCTCGAACTCCCTACACGTCTCATTCTTTTTTCTTTTCCTAGTTTTCTCATCCCAATCTGTCAACAGCGTTTAATACCGGAGGGTCAAGAAGCACGAAACTGGTTCAAGCTTCCTAACTTTGGTTGGGTGTAACCCGGTTCCCACCAGGGGCCAACAAGGTCAGCACACGAGCCCCGAACTCAACTTTCGCCAACCAAAAGCACTGTAACAACGACGTTTCAGCCCTACCAACATCGCACGGTAAAATCGCCCAACACCAACCTCAACAAACATGACCCGCTAGGCCAGAGAAACCTGTCCCAAAATGCCAGGGATTAGTCCCGCTATCTAAGAACTACTAGTATAGTCGCTTAACAAGAGCTATTCGCCAAAAAACCGCGCTGGACGTATGCGCAGCTCGATAACAACGATAGGTGCGCCAACATTGTCGTCGAACGCAACCACATTGCCGCACGAAGCCTTAGGGATCTACTAATGACCAGAATAAAGTACAGTCTAATGCTATCGGGACGACCACGTACAGTCTTATGGCACGTCGCACCCAGGTTCTTTAGGGTTACGTCGCAGCTGGTTCCACGATTGCTAAGACGCATCTCGCACTCGGCACGAGTGTGAAACATTCGTGACAGTGAGAGACAGTCAGCCTGGCGGGCGGCTGCCACGTCGGCGCGTCGCGGCTTGAGAGAAGGCCAGCGAATCGTGGCTTCAGTGACGTCATCTTCTCCTGTCCCTGGTGTGAGCGACGTCACGTCGGGATCTCCGCGTACGTCGAGAGTATCTGGACCGTCCGATCACATCGATCTGTCCCCGTTACAAACCTTCGGTCAAACTCTTCAAACCCCACCGCCATCAATCATGCTGACGTCATCCGTTCCGCTCCGCCATCCCCTTACCAGTTCCTTCTCCGCGCGCATCCCTTGCGCTGATGCGATCGCTGGGGGCTTCATTGCGCTCAGATCGCAGCCACGTGGCGCTGGTGAGGGCAATGATTGGCCATGTAGACCCGCCCTCCCCACCTCGAGCTCCCTCCCCGCTCCCTGCTCCTCCCCGCTCTAAGCCCCCTCCTCCCTTTCAGATCACTACGCACAATCTCGCACCTCACCTTTCATTCAACCATGCCTATCCCTCTCCTCGTCTCGCCCTCTTCCCCGTTGCAGCGCCATTCCACTCCGCCGCGCTCCCAGCCCCAGCAGCAGCCAGCGCGGATCAGAATGCGGGCGGCGGTGGCGGGGGGTCGGGGGAGGCGGGGCGGAGGCAGGAGGCGGAGGGGAGGGGCGGAAGGAGGAGGACGCGGAGTTGCGGCAGTGGATCCAGCAGACGCTCTCCAGTGAGTGCTGCTGACACGTGGCAGTCTCACACACAGAACACGTGGCAGTGTCACACTAGGGGCAAATGAATGCAGTTACAACGTAGCACCTTCTCACTCCAAGCTCTAGGTAGCCAGGTCATCCCTGCCACGTGCGCACTGTTTCGTTGGTGGAACCTTGTCCTGCCACGTGGCACTCATCAGCGCGTTTGGCTTACACGTGTATTGCATGTGTGCTGCTTGTGTATTGCATGTGTGCTGCTTGTGTGCTGCACGTGTGCGTGCCTGGTCGCCTGGCAGAGGACGGCGAGGGGGGAGGCAAGGAGGGGCGTATGCAGCAGGCGCGCATGGCAGTAGGTGGGTGGTCCATCGCACGTCACCTCCCCTCTCATTGTGTCGTCCGTCCATTTCACTTTGCCCATGCGCCTTTTTCTTTGCCTCCGCTCCTCTTCCCCATTCCTCACCTCCCTGACATTTCCATCCCCTCTCTCTCTCTCTCTTTTGCCTACATCGCGCCCCCCACCCCACATCCTTCCCTGCATCTCTCCCTGTCCTCCCAACCTCCGTCCCCGTCCCTCAAAGCAGCCAAGCTAAGCAGGCAATCGGGCACGGCCCAGTCCCCCTCCGCCTCCCCCCCCTCCGCCCTCCCCCCCACCACTTCTCCCCTCACTCCCCCTCTTCCTTCTCCTCCTCTGCACTCTCTTCCCGAGATTTCGATGAGCTAGAGACTTTGATTGGGCCTGATGAGGAGGATGAGGAGGATGAGGGAGAGAGGAGCGGAGGGAGGAGATTTGGGGAAGAGAGGATGGGAGGGAGGAGAGTGGGAGGGGACAGAGGGGAGAGAGGGGAGGGAGGGAGAGCAGAGGTGGTGGAGGAAGAGGAAGGAGGCTATGGAAGAGGGCGGTGCACAGGGAGGTACGGGGGGCAGAGGGGGGGGCGGAGGAACTGGGGAGAGGGGGAGGAGTGAGGGGGAAGGACATAAGAAAGCGGGGAAGGGGCAAGGGGGGGGGTACGTGGGAGGGGCTGAGGTGAGAGCAGTTGAGGTGCTCCCCAGCCCCTCTCAGAGATTACTGGGGGCTTGTGTCTCTCTGTGGTGCACGGCTTATGAGTGTAGAGTGCATCAAGCTTGTGCATGGGTCTTTCTCAGGCATGTGCGGTGTGTTTCGCTCTTGTGCGTGGCAGGAGCTGCACATCTCCCAGCCCCTCCCTAAGCACATGGGTGGCTCACATTGCGTACGAGTGTATCCAGCTTCCTATGGGAGTCTGGGCAGCACACAGGGGCATAGTGGAACGGGAAACTCTGCTGACGGGGTCAAGAGGTAGGTGCATGTGCTTCTTGAGAATTCTGAAATTCAGGTGCATGTGCTTCCAGGCCCTTATGAGAGGTTGCCTGTAAACTGTTTTTGATTGCTTAGCACTCTTTGAGACGTCTCAAAACACTTCTTCAAACACATTGCTTAGCTCTCTGCGTCCTCCCTTCCTTCCCCTTCAGAACGTGCGCTTCCTGTCACAATTCATCTCTGAAACCGGCAAGATCAAGCCCAGAAACAAGGTGAGCTGGCAATCTCACTCTCCTCATGTTAGGTTCCAAACTGCACTACTGTCTGTGCTGCCTGCTTATCCTCCCTACTCTCACTCCTCGTACGAGTTACAGAGGGCACTGCCATGTGTGCCTATCCTCCTCACTCACACTCCCTGTAAACCCTTTTCCTCCACATCAACAAGCGCACTTGCATGTCTTTCACCTCCTCCACTCATGCCATGTCGCCGTCCGTCACTATCCAATCCTGCAGACTGGGCTGTCTGCCAAGGCGCAGCGCCGCATGGCTCGGGAAATCCGAACTGCGCGGGTGTTTGGGCTCATGCCATTCACGCAGGCGGGCCGCCCGCCGTTTAAGTTCGGCAAGGACCCGAACCTTGAGTCCGGGGAGCCGGTGTGGGAGGAGCTTGACCTGGCAGCTGCTGTTGTGGGGGACGATGAGCTCAAGGCCATCGCTGGGAGATAGCTTGCTCAAGGTAGTTGGAGACTAGACCAGGAAGAATCAGCATCATGCACATTGGCTAACAGCTGTGATCAAGTGTTGAAACTTCGCTGTGTATTTTATTTTGCCGAAGTAAAAAATCTGTAGCATGTCGCCTTTGTAGTTGACCTAGCAAAGATGCCAGCAAGTGCTTCCTACGATTGACTGAGTGCAAAATACATATCTCTAGCCTAACCACTCTGCCCACTTCCGTAACACCCTTGTGCATGGTCATCTCAGCGCCATCAGTAAGAGGTTGACACCTGAGTGCTGCCTATTCAGCCTCCCCTTGGACATCTCATGCGCCGCTGCATCTGCTGCACTGCTCCCATAGCTCCCACCATCGCCCGCCCCCCATTGCGCCACATTGGACGGCAGCCCACTAAAGGGCAAGTGCTGCTCCTCTGCCATCAGCATCGCAGGCACCGCTCTGGAAGGCCATCTCATGCCTCCAGCAGCGCCTGCACATGCTTCCGGCACAGAGGCAGCAGCGCACATGTTTGGAGGTCTGAGAGGTTGGGACTGATTTGAAAAGAAAGTGTTGCAAGCATCAGCAAGCACTCAAGGCAGTAAGCTCACCCCAGGGTGTGACTGCATGTAGTGGTGAAGCTCGAAAAGGCTGACTGCTCCTTGCTTGTGGTACACTATCTTGCGCACTATGCTCTGCAGCTCGTCCTGGTCGCATGCAGGAGAGGCAGGGAGAGAGAGAGAGCAGGGTGGAGTAGGGGGTGAGCAAAGGGGAAATGAGAGGAGTTGGGGGTGGGAAAGGGTTGAACGAAGGGAGTAGAGAGTAAACAGAGGGGAAAGATGGGTGAGTTCAGGGGGAAAGGGTGTGAGCAGCGGGCGAGAGGGTGAGCAATGGGCAAGCGAGTGAGAAGGGGAATATAGGGGCGTGCAAAGGGGGAAATAAGCCGAGCAGGGGGGGAATGGTAGCGTGAAATAGGGAGGAATGGAAGGGGGTGGGGGGAAATGGTAGCATGAAATGGAAAGGAATGGAAGGGTGAACTGGGTACGGAATGGTAGCATACTGGGGAAGGAATGGCAACGTAAAGGCGGCGGTAGGGAATGGGCGTGGGGGAGTGGGGGAAAGGAAGGGGGGCAGTGGGGGACTGGACGCGGGGGAGAGGGGGCTGGGGCGGGGCGGGTGGGTGTCGGGGAAGGAAATGGGAGCGGGAGAGAGGGCAACGGCAGGGGTGACGGGAAGGGGTTGGAAGCGTGCGGGGAAACAAAGTGAGCCGGGGGGAGGAGAATGAACAAGGGAGACAGAGTGATAGGGAGAGATCAAGGTGGGTGAGGGTGATACTGCTGCTTGTAACCACTTCAGCTCGCAGGGCGGGTTGTGAGTGCGTCGAGGGGGAGTAGAGTGCGGTGGAGAGTGGTGAGGAGCTAGCATACCGTGTGGGACGGGACTGGGGGAGGTGTAACACAAGGGCGTCAGAGACAGCAGCAGTAGAGAGGTGGAGGTGTGTGAGGGATACTGCTGCTTGTAACCACTGCTAGCCGCAGGGCGGGGTGTGAGGGCCTGGAGGAGTGGAGGAGTGAGGGAGGCGAGGAGGTGAGGAGGGAAGAGGGAGGAGGGAGGAGCGATTGAGGCACCAGAGAGAACGAGATGAGTGAGGGGAGAGGAGGAAGAGGAGGAGGAGTGAGAGGAGGAAGGAGATGAGGCGGAGGGAGAGGGAAGCGAATGGTAAGGAGGGGGCAGTGGGAGAGGTGCAGGGCGGTGAGGGAGGGGTGGACGAGTGGTGGGAGAGGGCGGTCCAGGCGAGGTTGGCGGAGAGCAGGCGGGGGAAGGCGAGGAGCAGCGAGGCAGAAGCGCTGGTGATGCTGCTGGCCACACTCACAAATGGCGCAAGTGAACCAGCGACTGCAGGAGAAGGGGGGGAGGCGGGGGTGGAAAGGCGATGGTGGGAGTGGGAAAAAGGGGAGCATTGGTGCTGGAGGCGTTAGCGCAAGTGAACCAAGAACTTGAGGAAGAGTGGGTAGGGGATTTGGGGGAAGAGGGGGGTGAGAAGGAGCAGTGGAGGTGGACAGAGTGAGCCGGGGGGAAGCGAAGGAGCAGGCGAAACAGGGTGAGCCGGGGAAGAGAGGGCGATGGGAGGGGGGAGCGAGGGCGATGGGAGAGGGAAGGGAAGGCGACGGGAGGGGGAAGTGAAGGCGACGGGAGGGGGAAGGGAAGGCGACGGGAGGGGGAAGGGAAGGCGACGGGAGGGGGAAGTGAAGGCGACGGGAGGGGGAAGGGAAGGCGACGGGAGGGGGAAGGGAAGGCGACGGGAGGGGGAAGTGAAGGCGACGGGAGGGGGAAGTGAAGGCTACGGGAGGGGGAAGTGAAGGCTACGGGAGGGGGAAGTGAAGGCGACGGGAGGGGGAAGGGAAGGCGACGGGAGGGGGAAGGGAAGGCGACGGGAGGGGGAAGTGAAGGCGACGGGAGGGGGAAGTGAAGGCGACGGGAGGGGGAAGTGAAGGCGACGGGAGGGGGAAGTGAAGGCGACGGGAGGGGGAAGTGAAGGCGACGGGAGGGGGAAGGGAAGGCGACGGGAGGGGGAAGGGAAGGCGACGGGAGGGGGAAGTGAAGGCGACGGGAGGGGGAAGTGAAGGCGACGGGAGGGGGAAGTGAAGGCGACGGGAGGGGGAAGTGAAGGCGACGGGAGGGGGAAGGGAAGGCGACGGGAGGGGGAAGGGAAGGCGACGGGAGGGGGAAGTGAAGGCGACGGGAGGGGGAAGTGAAGGCGACGGGAGGGGGAAGTGAAGGCGACGGGAGGGGGAAGTGAAGGCGACGGGAGGGGGAAGTGAAGGCGACGGGAGGGGGAAGTGAAGGCGACGGGAGGGGGAAATGAAGGCGACGGGAGGGGGAAGTGAAGAGCATCGCCGTGGTGAAAGGGAGGATTGGCGTGTGGGGAGTGGGGGAATGGACGGGAGGAAATAGCAGCGCGACGGGCGCGGGATGGGGAAGCGTGGCGTGAGGAAGGGGGGATTGTGGCGGGAGGAAAGGGGAACCGCGCCGTAAGGAAAGGGCGGCACGAGCAAACCCTAACCGCGGTGTGATTCACCCTTTTTAGGGAATCCGTATATATAGGTTTAGACGCGGGGAGTATCTCTATCTTCTTCTTTGTCACGAGATTTTGATATCTATTTGCCGAGGAGTCATGGGTCGTTGCAATGTTACGTGACGGTGGTTCAGTAAATTCACAAGGAGCCACGCTGCAAAGATACCAGCGCGCGGCTTACTAGGCTCCTTATCAACGTGCCGATGAGGCATGACACTCTGAAGTGTGCGATGGGTTGTGGTGATATGTCGCGCGTGCGTTTGTGCGATTGATGTGTGGAGGTGTTCCGGTCGCATTCTCTATCAGGTTACTTTGGCGAGGTTGGTCATGTACGCGAACATCTTCCCAACTTTTCGACTATTCAGTTCCTTCGCGGGCCAATAGCAAATTTGGCCCAAACCAACCTTCCTAAGGTTGAACTTCTTGGCCCGCGGGTTTTAAGGTCGCACCGGCGTCATACGCTTACCGTCGTTTAGGCGAAGCGCGTTTTTGACCGCGTCGTGTGTTCGATATAGGATGGGTTCGACTGTATTTGTAGGAAGCTCTTTATCCGCGCTCAATAGCAGTCGCGTAGCCAGCACTCTGCATCTTTCGAGAATCTCCGGCGTCGCGTGTGACTTAGCGGTCGCGTGCGCATCGCGTTTACTATCAGATCGTCATGCAGCTGGCCGTCGATTCTCCTTAATATCTGCACCCGACAGGCACGCGACACCTCTCTTACGGCGGCGACGAAAAAGCGTTCATCAAGCGACCAATCAGCTGCGAAGCGACGGACGCGTAGCGTCCAACGATAGGTTGTTGACAGATGGACAGAACGCCACCCTTACTAGAGTGGACGAGTCGCGACCCGACAGAGTTAACAGCATCAATAGCCGGGATCGAATCGCGAGTAACGGTTCGCTGGCTCACGGCGTTTTCGTTGATAGCACTGCCGCAGTGTCTTTCGTTGACTCGCCGACCGAGGCCGACACAGGTCGCGAGAAAGACGGGAAAGGGGTCACGGATGACGTGGTGCTGACGTGTACCACGTTCAACATGCTCGCGCCTATATTCAAGCGAATTAACAGAGAGGTATGGTAGGATATCATATCATTTAATGAACCCGTGAGGATCTGCACATTCCGGCGAGACAACTAAGCCCTCCTGCGGAAACAAACTTTCTGACAGTATAGTAAACCTCAAGAACGTGGAAAAAGTGCAAAGAGAAAACCTTTTTTTCCTCACGGTTATTGCACGGACCTCGGGGAAGAAGAGAGCAAATTTCGGAAGCCGTGGCCAAGTGATTGCATGGCTGCCTCGTTCGCGCCACGAAACGATGGGTTTTCTTTTCTCTTCCTCCCGTTGCCCTCCTTCCGGGTTCCCGCACGTACCGCAGGGCCAGAGAGAGAGCGAGTTTCGAGACCTGTGGCTTCCGCGAAGCCAGCGAATTCTGGATACCATAGTGGCGACGGGTTCGTCAATCGTGTGCCTGCAGGAGTGCTGGCTGTCGCACCCCGAGTGGGTTCGCCTCTTCGACTCATCTCTCGGTGCTGCCGGTTACCGCACGCTCAAACTGCCCAGAACTAACAACCGGGGCGATGGTGAGTGGGGGCGAACTCTAGCGGAAACTGGTAACCCTATATTCGTCAAGATCGTCCATAATTAAGCTTTCAATAGTGCTGGCTGTCGCACCCCGAGTGGGTTCGCCTCTTCGACTCCTCAAACTGCCTAGAACCAACAACTGGGGCGACGGCGAGTGGGGAGATTGCGAGTTGTGAGGAGTGGGGGGATTCATGAGCCTCAATGCGTGACTTTTGAGTCGACTTAACAAATGACCATAGTGAACAAGCTGAGGTACATGGTGGATGCATGGACTCCCAGCCACTGCTTCTGTCACGTTGACTGTCTCTCATGCACCAACCCAACCTGCTCTCCCTCCCCCCACCCCTGCAGGTTTGATGATAGCGGTGAAGAGCGACCAGTGGCACGTGGTGGACTATCAGCAGCTGCTGTTCCACGACTGTGAGGCCTGCTCTTTCCCTCCATCCTAGCCTTGCTTCTTAACCAAACCTGCGCTTCTGTCACCCCCGTCTCCAGGTCTCATGATCGCCGTGAAGCACGACCAGTGGCACGTGGTGGACTATCAGCAGCTGCTGTTCCACGACTGTGGGGACCGCGTTGCTCAGATCTTACGGCTGAGATCGAAAGGGCGCCTGGGGGGGAGGGCGGGGCGGGAAGGGAGTAAGGGAGCGGAGGGAGAGGAGGAGGATGTGTTGGTGGTGAACACCCATCTGCTGTTCCCGCATGACGCCAACTCCAATATCATCCGCCTCTGCCAGGTGGGCTTCTGTCAGATTTTCTGTCAGGTGGGCTTCGGTCAGATTTTCTGTCAGGTGGGCTTCTGTCAGATTTTCTGTCAGGTGGGCTTCTGTCAGATTTTCTGTCAGGTGGGCTTCGGTCAGATTTTCTGTCAGGTGGGCTTCTGTCAGATTTTCTGTAAGGTGGGCTTCTGTCAGATTTTCTGCCAGGTGGGCTTCTGTCAGATTTTTTGCCAGGTGTGCTTCTGTCAGATTTTCTGTCAGGTGGGCTTCTGTAAGAATTTCTGTCAGGTGGGCTTCTGTCAGATTTTCTGCCAGGTGGGCTTCTGTCAGATTTTTTGCCAGGTGGGCTTCTGTCAGATTTTCTGTCAGGTGGGCTTCTGTCAGATTTTCTGCCAGGTGGGCTTCTGTCAGATTTTCTGTCAGGTGGGCTTCTGTCAGATTTTCTGTCAGGTGGGCTTCTGTCAGATTTTCTGCCAGGTGGGCTTCTGTCAGATCTTCTGCCAGGCGGGCTTCTGTCAGGTGGGAGTGAGGGAGGGGTGCATGAGCAGCAACAGCATAAGCTGGAGAAGCAAGAGCAGCAGGAGGGGGAGGAGGAGGATGTGTTGGTGGTGAACACCCATCTGCTGTTCCCCCATGACGCCAACTCCAACATCATCCGCCTCTGAGGTCGTTTTTGAGGCGCCTCAAAAACGACCTCAATGCACGCATGACGCCAACTCCAACATCATCCGCCTCTGCCAGGTGGGCTTTTGCTGCCAGGTCAGTCGCTACCAGGTCAGCCGTTGCCAGGTCAGCCACTACCAGGTGGACCGTTGCTCCCTCGCTCTGCCAGGTGGGCTTTAGTGTATGGATGGGAGAGAGAGAGGGCAAGGGGAGGTGAGAGAGGGAGACTGATCCGCGTGGGCCCTGCTCCCCTTTCTGCTCTATTTGGCAGGCAGATCGGGAGAGGAGGTGGGATGGGGGAAAGTTGAGCAAAGCACGTGTGTGTACAACAAGCCAGCAGCATGTTAATTGTTAATTGAGCCAGCAGCATGTTAATTGTTAATTGAGCCAGCAGCATGTTAATTGGTTTTGAGTCATCTCGAGTGGGTTACTCTCAAACTGAAGGCTGTGTGGACTGTTGGTACTTGAAAATTCTAGAACAAAACTATCGCTCTGCTGCTCTGCGGCAGCACGCATGCATATTGTGGTGCCTTCAAATCGATGTGTGCTTTTGTGTGTCTCTGTTACTCTGCTGCACCACGGCAGGTGTACAAGCTGCTAGAGCGGGTGGAGCAGTGCCGGACAGAACAAGCTAGCAGACCCGCCCCTGTCATCCTGTGCGGGTATGTTGGGCTCTCTATGCTGGCCTCTCCATGTCCTTCTGTCTCGTCAACTTGTGCCGTTTTGAGACGTCTCAAAACATCTCTTTTATCACGTGGCCTCTCCGTGTCCTTCTGTCTCGTCAACTCGTGCCTTTTGCTTCATATCCATGCCTTTTGCCTCAAGCCACCTGCCTGCCCCCGTCCTTCCACAGCTCCCACCCATTCTCCGTACATGCCCTTCACCTGTGCCCTTGCATGCCCTTCACCTGTGCCCTTGCATGCCCTTCACCTGTGCCCTTGCATGCCCTTCACCTGTGCCCTTGCATGCCCTTCACCTGTGCCCTTGCATGCCCTTCACCTGTGCCCTTGCATGCCCTTCACCTGTGCCCTTGCATGCCCTTCACCTGTGCCCTTGCATGCCCTTCACCTGTGCCCTTGCATGCCCTTCACCTGTGCCCTTGCATGCCCTTCACCTGTGCCTTGCATGCCCTTCACCTGTGCCCTTGCATGCCCTTCACCTGTACCCTTGCATGCCCTTCACCTGTGCCCTTGCATGCCCTTCACCTGTGCCCTTGCATGCCCTTCACCTGTGCCCTTGCATGCCCTTCACCTGTGCCCTTGCATGCCCTTCACCTGTGCCCTTGCATGCCCTTCACCTGTGCCCTTGCATGCCCTTCACCTGTGCCCTTGCATGCCCTTCACCTGTGCCCTTGCATGCCCTTCACCTGTGCCCTTACATGCCCTTCACCTGTGCCCTTGCATGCCCTTCACCTGTGCCCTTGCATGCCCTTCACCTGTGCCCTTGCATGCCCTTCATCTGTGCCCTTGCATGCCCTTCACCTGTGCCCTTGCATGCCCTTCACCTGTGCCCTTGCATGCCCTTCACCTGTGCCCTTGCATGCCCTTCACCTGTGCCCTTGCATGCCCTTCACCTGTGCCCTTGCATGCCCTTCACCTGTGCCCTTGCATGCCCTCTCACATGCTCCCGAATTTTCGAACATGCTTCCCTTTCCTGCCACGATTGAGTGTTTTCCAGCCTCTTCTGGCAGGATTGGGCAGCACGTGAGCACGTTCTGCCACGATTGAGTTTCCAGCCTCTTCTGGGACGTCTGAAGTGTCTCGATCTCACAACCCCGTTCTCACCTCTTTCCCCTTCCTCCCTCCCAGAGATCTGAACGGCACCAAGGAGGGCAACGTGTACAAGCTGCTGCGCTCGCAGGGCTTCCTCTCCTCCTATGACGCAGCGCACCACCTCAATGACGTGGATGAAACGGTGGGTGACGTGGATGAAACGGTGGGTGACGAGGATGAAACGGTGGGTGACATGGATTATGAGGTATTTGACGTGGATGAGAAGGTAGTCGATGTGTGGGTGGGTAGCCCGTGCAGGGTGGAACCCTGTGGATGCTGTTCAGGATTGGTTGGCATGGCGTTCAAGATTGCTTCCCTAAATTCCAGCAATCGTGTTCCCTCGATTCAAGATTGTTCTAGCAGCTTCACGTCCCCCCCGCCTCTCCGTTCTTGTCCCGTCTCTCCTTTCTCCTTTCCCCTCCCCGTTCTTGTCGGTCCTTCATTTCATGACCCGTCCCTTCGCCCTTGCCATTCTCTCTGCCCGTCTACACAGTCACGATGGCGAAGTGTGGGGGGTGGACTATGTGTGGATAATGCACCTCAGCCGCTCTTACATTCGCTCCATTTATCCCCTCATCCCTCAGCCATTCCCCAGTGGATGAGCCATCGCGGTCACAAGGGAGACGTGTGCGGGGTGGACTGTGTATGTGAAGCTGACCTCTAACAGCTTCGTGCTCAGTGCTGGTTGCATCGCATGTTCTCCGTCTCTCCCTCCCTCCCCCCGCCCCCCATCTCTCTTTCCGCAGTGGGTGAGTCATCGCAGCCATAGAGGGGACGTGTGCGGGGTGGACTATGTGTGGATGCTCATTGTTGATTGCATTGCATATCCTCCTTCTCTCTCCTCTCTCCTACTCCCCGTCTCTCTTCTCTCAGTGGGTGAGCCATCGAAGCCACAGGGGCGACGTGTGCGGGGTGGACTATGTGTGGATGCTCAACGCGCGCACGCCCATGACAAGCCCTGTGCTCAACTGGCGCAAGGCCGTGTTTGGATTGATCAAGGTGAGTCAGCATAATATACAAGCCACGCTCAGAGAATCCAGTATTACCAAAAGCCCCCTCTGCTGGTATGTGTGGATGCTCAGCGCCCGCACGCCCATGACAAGCCCCGTCTTGAACTGGCGCAAGGCTGTGTTCGGGCTCATCAAGGTGAGCCGGCATAGCCAGACAGTTACAGTTAGTTAGTCAGTTACAGTCAGTCAATCAGTTACGGTCAGTTAGTCAGACGCAGTTTGTCAACGCAGGGAGCCAGTATGAGTGCAGCTATATGGAAATCACTTTTGAGAATTCTCAAAAGTGATTTCCAACGCAGGGAGCCAGTATGAGTGCAGCCCCCTCTGTTATGTGTGGATGCTCAACGCCCGCACGCCCATGAGCAACCCCATCCTGTACATTGAGTTGATTTTTGAGGTGCCTCAAATGGATTTTTAAGGCGCCTCAAATTGATTTTTGAGTTGATTTTTGAGGCGCCTCAATTTGATTTTTGAGTTGATTTTTGAGGCGCCTCAAGTTGATTTTTGAGGCGGCTCAAAAATCAACTCAATGCTCAACGCCCGCACGCCCATGAGCAACCCCATCCTGTACGGGGAAAGGCGGCGGTTTTTGGGCTCATCAAGGTGAGCAGCAGCAGGGATGCACGGCACGCGTTTCAGTTCTTCGTCACTGCAAGCAGCAACCTTTGATGGAACACGTGTTTTGAGTGGACTCACAACACTCCAGTGGAACGCACTGTGTGGTTCTCCTGAAGCCTCAATTCCTCCCATGCCATCTCACCTCCCACTCTCCATCCCACTCTCCCTCCCCCATCTCGCCAGTCGAAGCTGCTAGCAGCAGGCATCACAGACGCACGGCACGCGTTCCAGTTCTTTGCCACAGCAGGCGACACCTCCCCGTATGAACACACCGTGTGTTTCACCACCGATCCAAACGCCACCGACGCTGCTGACGTCAGCATGGATTTCGGGCAGCAGCAGAATGATGACCCAGCGACCAAGGAGGAGGAGGTGGAGGAGGGGGAGGAGGAGGAGGAGGAGGAGGCGTGGAGGTTTTACGACAGTGATGAGGAGGGGATGGAGAGGCAGGAGTGCTGTATCACTGCCTTTACCATTGAGGACTTTCAACTGGCTGTGGCTCAGGTGGGTGCAACTGGGGCAGGTGCTATCTGGGAAGGGTAATCGGGCCTGGAGGCTGGGTGGTAATGACAGTGATGAGAGGGGATGGAGAGGCAGGAGTGCTGCATCACTGCCTTCACCATTGAAGACTTTCAGCTGGCTGTGGCTCAGGTGAATATCACTGGGGCAGGTAGAGCTGGGGAAGGTAGGCTGAAAGTTGTGAAGGACTAGTGAGGATGGCCAGGAGTGCTGCATCACTGCCTTCACCATTGAGGATTTTCAACTGGCCGTGGCTCAGGTGGGTCATCAGGCTGGGGAAGGTAGATCTGGGGCAGGTAGGCTGAAAATTATGGAGGAATAGTGACTCGAGGCGGGAGTGCTGCATCACTGCCTTTACCGTTGAGAACTTCCAGCTGGCCGTGGCTCAGGTGGGTGCCAATACCTCCCTTTCCTCTCCTCCGCAGCTGGGTCTGACAGGGGATAACTCTATCGGATTAACAGAAGTTGATGTGGCAGAGCTGATGCAAGGGGCGGACACAGATGGGGACGGGTGGATTTCAACGAGTTTCAGGACATGTTTCAGCAGCGCATATGTCTTAATCCTCTCCTCTCCCTATTCTCTCCTACAGCTTGGTCTCACGGGGTACAACTCCATCGGGCTGACAGAGGTGGAGGTGGCGGAGCTGATGCAAGGGGCGGACACAGACGGCGATGGGTGAGTGGACTTGAACGAGTTCCATGTGACTAACCTGTCCCTAATCCCATCCCTCTATCCATTGCCCCCTTCCTTCCCCAACGGTTGGGCCTGACAGGAGTCAACTTTATTGGGCTGACAGAGGTGGAGGTGGCGGAGCTGATGCAAGGGGCGGACACGGATGGGGACGGGTGGATTTCAACGAGTCTCAGGACATGTTTCAGCAGCGCATATGTCTTAATCCTCTCCTCCCCCTATTCTCTCCTACAGCTTGGTCTCACGGGGGACAACTCCATCGGCCTGACAGAAGTCGAGGTGGCAGAGCTGATGCAAGGGGCGGACACGGACGGTGATGGGTGGGTGGACTTGAACGAGTTCCATGTGACTAACCTGTCCCTAATCCCATCCCTCTATCCATTGCCCCCTTCCTTCCCCAACAGTTGGGCCTGACAGGAGTCAACTCCATTGGGCTGACAGAGGTGGAGGTGGCGGAGCTGATGCAAGTGGCGGACACGGACGGCGATGGGTGGGTGGACTTGAACGAGTTCCATGTGACTAACCTGTCCCTAATCCCATCCCTCTATCCATTGCCCCCTTCCTTCCCCAACAGTTGGGCCTGACAGGAGTCAACTCCATTGGGCTGACAGAGGTGGAGGTGGCGGAGCTGATGCAAGGGGCGGACACGGATGGCGATGGGTGGGTGGACTTGAACGAGTTCCATGTGACTAACCTGTCCCTAATCCCATCCCTCTATCCATTGCCCCCTTCCTTCCCCAACAGTTGGGCCTGACAGGAGTCAACTCCATTGGGCTGACAGAGGTGGAGGTGGCGGAGCTGATGCAAGGGGCGGACACGGACGGCGATGGGTGGGTGGACTTGAACGAGTTCCATGTGACTAACCTGTCCCTAATCCCATCCCTCTATCCATTGCCCCCTTCCTTCCCCAACAGTTGGGCCTGACAGGAGTCAACTCCATTGGGCTGACAGAGGTGGAGGTGGCGGAGCTGATGCAAGGGGCGGACACGGATGGCGATGGGTGGGTGGACTTGAACGAGTTCCATGTGACTAACCTGTCCCTAATCCCATCCCTCTATCCATTGCCCCCTTCCTTCCCCAACAGTTGGGCCTGACAGGAGTCAACTCCATTGGGCTGACAGAGGTGGAGGTGGCGGAGCTGATGCAAGGGGCGGACACGGACGGCGATGGGTGGGTGGACTTGAACGAGTTCCATGTGACTAACCTGTCCCTAATCCCATCCCTCTATCCATTGCCCCCTTCCTTCCCCAACAGTTGGGCCTGACAGGAGTCAACTCCATTGGGCTGACAGAGGTGGAGGTGGCGGAGCTGATGCAAGGGGCGGACACGGACGGCGATGGGTGGGTGGACTTGAACGAGTTCCATGTGACTAACCTGTCCCTAATCCCATCCCTCTATCCATTGCCCCCTTCCTTCCCCAACAGTTGGGCCTGACAGGAGTCAACTCCATTGGGCTGACAGAGGTGGAGGTGGCGGAGCTGATGCAAGGGGCGGACACGGACGGCGATGGGTGGGTGGACTTGAACGAGTTCCATGTGACTAACCTGTCCCTAATCCCATCCCTCTATCCATTGCCCCCTTCCTTCCCCAACAGTTGGGCCTGACAGGAGTCAACTCCATTGGGCTGACAGAGGTGGAGGTGGCGGAGCTGATGCAAGGGGCGGACACGGACGGCGATGGGTGGGTGGACTTGAACGAGTTCCATGTGACTAACCTGTCCCTAATCCCATCCCTCTATCCATTGCCCCCTTTCTTCCCCAACAGTTGGGTCTGACAGGAGTCAACTCCATTAGGCTGACAGAGGTGGAGGTGGCAGAGCTGATGCAAGGGGCGGACACGGATGGCGATGGGTGGGTGGATTTGAACGAGTTGCAGGACATGTTTCAAGCGCCTTCAGGCCCCCTTGCTCTCTCCCTCCCTCCCTCTCTTGTTTCCCCTGCAGCTCGGCCTCACGGGGGACAACTCCATTGGGCTAACAGAGGTGGAGGTGGCGGAGCTGATGCAAGGTGCGGACACGGACGGGGACGGGTGGGTGGATTTCAACGAGTTCCAGGACATGTTTCAGCAGCCCACATGGGACTCGCGGGTTGATACCCTGAAGCAGTCCATGGCTGCTTCGCTTGCTGCCTCCCTTGCTGCCGCTTCTGCTGCTGCTGCTGCCCCTGGTTCTACTGCCTCTGCTTCTGCCAGTGCTGCTGCAGCTGGCGTTGCTGCTGTCTCTGCAAGTGCTCTGGGTTCTGCTGGTAGCATCTCTGCTGTGTCCTCACAAGAGCAGCAGAAGCAGCAGCGGTGGGAGGAGAAGGAGCAGGCAGTGTTGCAGGGGGAGCAGCCGTACTGGGAGAGCCGCAGGGGGCTCAATGTGGAGGGGGAGGCAGGCCAAGGGAACAACCGTTGTAGAGATGGCAATGGTGCTGGAGCTGTTGGTGTTGGTGTTGCTGGTGATGCTGCCGGTGCAGATGCAGCTAAGGAGATGGCTGGGGCTGCAGGTGCACGGGAGCTGCCTGGTGTTCAGGCAGGTGACACACAAGAAGTGGCTGAGGGTGTGGAGGAGTGCGAGATAGAAGGGAGTAATGGAGGGCTGAGTCTCGCAGTGCTGAAGGCATCGCTGTTCCCGCCTGAGATGGAGGAGGGGAGGTGGCCGGAGGATTATACGCTGTCGGATCATGCGGTGCTGACTGTGATGTTTGGGAGGGAGAAAGTGGATGAAGTGAGCAAGTGAGAAAATTGAGGGAATGAGCCCTTGTGGTTTGGCAGCAATTTTTTTTTGGAGTGCAGGGCATTATTACCATATTCATATTAAAATCTGTTCCCTGTCAGATGTTTGCTGTATGCAATGTGCAAGAAGTTTGGGGTTACCATTTGTTGCCAAAACATTCCTTTGGATAAGGTCTATTTAGTTGCGTTTATCAAAAGTTCACAATGTGGGCCAAGTGTTTTTTCCATTACCAATCATAAGTTTTTTCAAATCATATGCGTGTAACTCTATGCCGTGGGTGTCTTATATCGCATGCGGAGAGATCAAGGGTGCTGCTAGACTTCACCTCACCTTATCGTGACATCACTTCGTCGCGTCGCGCTTCGCTCCTTATCTCGACGAATACACCCAGCGACACGTAGCACACTCTTGCAGGAGCCATCAGCCCAGATCAGACCCGCCGTGGTTAATTACCTTTTGGAACACTTAGAGGAAACTTACGGAGCATTTAGGGAACACCTACGGGAAACCGCTTTCTAGTAACTAGTGGTTGGTAGGTTTGGCTCGCGATCGGTTCAGAGTAAAGCGCTTCGGATTAGGTATCAGATTAGGTAATTGATTGCTTTGTCGTGTGTAGGGTTATCTGCTGCCGTTAACGTATAGTGGCTCGTCTCTGGCCCTCCGCGATGACATCGTAACTACGTTACCTCTTTCGCGAAGAGTCCCCGTTCGAGAGTTTTCGCGAGCCGACCAGTAAATCCTCGCTAGTTTCGTCGCACCCTGCCCCACTCCAGCTTTCCTGTTGGGATTTCTTGTTCCGCCGCGTTGATCCTGATTAGAGCTGGTTTAGAGAATTCTCAGTATCGAGTTTATGCCTAGACGGGGTGCTGAGTTTCCCAGCCTGATTTGCGCCTTAGACGCGTGCTGAATCTACGGGATCTCATGTTCTTTGGCGGGAAAGATATCCAGCCGTTTGGGAGCAGCAGCAGCAGCAGCAGCAGCAGCAGCAACAGCGGCAGCGGCAGCGGCACCGGCAGCAGCGACAGCAGTAACAACAGCGACAGCAGTAACAACAGCGACAGCAGTAACAACAGCATATTCAAGATCATCAGCGATAGTCTCTTTTCCGACAGACCCAGTAGCAGCAGGTTAAACAGCAATAGCAACAACAGCAGCAGTAGTAGCACCAGCAGCAACAACAACATATTCAAGACCATCAGCGATAGCCTCTTCTCCGACAGACCCTCACACACGAGCATGGCGGGCGCTGGCGGAAGCGGAGCGGGGGGGCGCGGAGGTTCCGCGCGCGGGGGGGGCGCGATGGCGCAGGAGCTGCTGCTGTACTTGTGCAGCGCGGGGATCAGCGCGCTCGTGCTGATCTTCACGATCCGCCAGCTGGACCCCAACCGTGCGCAGTCCAAGCTCGCCAAGCAGCGGAAAAGGGAGATCGCCAAGAGACTGGGTCGGCCGTACATCGAGACCAACGCGTATGAGGTGAGTCCGCCGCACGGGGGGTTTCCGCGCGCACGGGGGGGAGTCGGGGGGGGGGGGGGGGGGGGGGGCTCGTGCTGCTTTTCACGATCCGCCTGCTCGACCCCAACCGCGCGCAGTCCAAGCTCGCCAAGCAGCGGCAACGGGAGATTGTGAAGCGGCTGGGTCGGCCGTGCATCCAGACGAACGCGTACAAGGTTCGTTAACTCACATGTCATTCACTTTTAGGTAGAGGTCGGGAAGCGTCTCAATGGGATCCATCCCTCTCCATCCCTCTCTACGCCTCTCCACCCTCCTCCTCTACCCATCAGGATGTTAATACCCAACGTCTTTAACCCACAGGACATCCACGTCACTTTTGACTCCTTCCCCCTCTCAATCTTTCTCTACCCATCTCCACCATTCTCTACCCCACTCCATCCCTCTAAACCCTCCCCATCAGGACGTGATAGCAAACGACGTGATCAACCCACAGGACATCCACGTCACCTTTGACTCCATAGGCGGCTTGCAGCACGTCAAAGAGTCCCTTCACGACCTGGTTATCCTCCCGCTTCAGCGCCCGGAGCTCTTTGCCCAAGGCCGATTGCTGCGGTGAGTGTGGGCGGGGTTTGTTGTTGTATCGCGCTTGAAGCGGGATTGATAGTCTGTCGGAGAGTGCATTGCATGGCAGCACGTGAAGGGGAGCACGTGAAGGGGAGCACGTGAAGGGCAGCACGTGAAAGGGGAGCACGTGAAGGGGAGCACGTGAAAGGGGTCCCTGCAGGATCTGAAGGCTCTCTTTGCTTGCTCAAGGCCGATTGCTGCGGTGAGTGTGGGTGATTTACGCTTTGCACCTGCACCCAGTCTCTCGCTCTTCTCGCTGCACGCACGTGCGTGCACGCATGCATGCTCCCCCCTCTCCATGCCCCTGCGTGCGTGCATGCAGACCACAGAAGGGAGTGCAAAGGCGATTTCCAGGAGTGCAATGCGGTGCTGTGCTCATGACACGTATTGCATGCATTTACTCGCTATTCTCCCTGCCCATACATGGATGCAGACCACAGAAGGGAGTGCAATGGCAATTTCCAGGAGTGCAATGCGGTGCTGTGCTCATTACACGTATTGCATGCATTTACGCTCTATTCTCCCTGCCCATACATGGATGCAGACCACAGAAGGGTGTGCAATGGCAATTTCCAGGAGTGCAATGCGGTGCTGTGCTCATTACACGTATTGCATGCATTTACTCCCTATTATCCCTGCCCATACATGGATGCAGACCACAGAAGGGTGTGTTGCTGTTCGGCCCACCAGGCACGGGCAAGACGCTGCTGGCGAAGGCGATTGCCAAGGAGTGCAGAGCGGTGTTCATCAACGTTAGAATCGCCAACCTCATGAGCAAATGGTTTGGGGAGGCTCAGAAGCTAGGTGCGTTTGGTGTTGTGGGGAGGGGAACAAGGGTGCGCCTTTGTGCTGAAGGGTTTGTGGCGTTTATGTTGTTGCCACAGCTCGTACAAACCTCATGAGCAAGTTGTTTGGGGACGCTCAGAAGCTAGGTGCGTTTGGAGGGGTGGTGAGGGGTTTGTGTGTGGGTTGCGGTTGCCAAGGAGTGCAGGGCGGTGTTCATCAACGTTAGAATCGCCAACCTCATGAGCAAGTGGTTCGGGGACGCTCAGAAGCTTGGTGCGCTGGGAGTGGGTTGTGAGGAACAGTGTGTATGAAAGAAGGGGCGATTTCCAAGGAGTGCAGAGCGGTGTTCATCAACGTCAGAATTGCCAACCTCATGAGCGAATGGTTTGGGGACGCTCAGAAGCTTGGTGCGTTTGGGGTGTTGGGTTGGGATGGGGTAGGGTGGGGTGGCGGAGGAGGCAGTCTTTTAGAGGACCAGAGGAGGTCGCAAGATGACCTCCTTTTTTTGAGTCGACTCAAAAACCAGAGGAGGTCGCAAGATGACCTCCTTTTTTTGAGTCGACTCAAAAAACCAGAGGAGGTCGCAAGATGACCTCCTTTCTTTGAGTCGACTCAAAAACCAGAGGAGGTCGCAAGATGACCTCCTTTTTTTGAGTCAACTCAAAAACCAGAGGAGGTCGCAAGATGACCTCCTTTTCACCTCCTCTTTCCCCCCCGTTACTTCTCTCTCCTTACAGTCACGGCGTTGTTCACTCTAGCACACACGCTGCCTGCAGCCAGCCACCATCTTCATAGACGAGGTGGAGTCATTCCTGGGGCAGTCGGCATAGCACGAGAACCTTATCCCCTCTACCCTCCCTCCTCCTTGCACACTTCTCCTTCCCTTTCTTACAGTCATGGCGGTGTTCTCTTCACGCTAGCCCATAAGCTGCCTGCAGCCAGCCATCATCTTTATCGACGAGGTCAACTCCTTTCTGGGGCAGACATTTTTTGAGAATTCTCAAAAGACTGTCGAGTCCTCCTCTCAAAAACTCCCTGCGACAGAGGAGGCAGTCAGTCAGAGCAAGAGAAACCAATTTCTTCTTTATTGCCATTGCCTCTATGCCACCCTTCCCCACTTGTTCCTTACAGTCACTGCAGTGTTCACGCTAGCCTACAAGCTGCAGCCGGCCATCATCTTTATCGACGAGGTGGAGTCCTTCCTGGGGCAGCGGAGGAACACGGAGCACCTTATTCCCTCCCTCCCCCTTCCCTCCTCCTACATTCTCTTTTCCTTTCCCTTGTTACAGTCACAGCGGTGTTCACTTTAGCCCACAAGCTGCAGCCAGCCATCATCTTCATCGACGAGGTGGAGTCCTTCCTGGGGCAGAGGAGGAACACGGAGCACGAGGCGGTTACCAGCATGAAGACCGAGTTCATGTCGCTGTGGGATGGCTTCAGCACTGATGGTGAGCACAAGTAGTACCTTGCAGAATGTATTTGAGTGCATGCAGTCGTGGGTGAGTGAGTGACATGGGGCAGCAGGAGAGGAACACGGAGCACGAGGCGGTTACCAGCATGAAGACGGAGTTCATGTCTCTCTGGGATGGCTTCAGCACCGATGGTGGGTGGGTGCATGCAGTGTTCATTTGAAGTGCATGCATGCAGTGGTGGGTGGGTGAGTGAGTGAAACGGGGCAGAGGAGGCACGCGGAGCCCGAGGCAGTGACGAGCATGAAGACTGAGTTCATGTCCCTGTGGGATGGCTTCAGCACTGATGGTGAGTAAGAGTGTTCGCAGTGTTGGCTTTAGTGCATGCAATGGTGAGTGAGTGTGTGTCTGGAGCAGCAGAGGAGGCACGCGGAGCACGAGGCGGTGACGAGCATGAAGACGGAGTTCTTGTCGCTGTGGGACGGCTTCAGCACTGATGGTGAGTAAGAGTGTTTGCAGTATTGTCTTTAGTGCATGCAATGGTGAGTGTGTGAGTGTCGTTTGCTCCCCCTTTCTCCCTTTGTGCTGCATCCCCCCTGCTCCCACCCCACATACCAGACATGCAGTGGTGGGTGAGTGAGTGTTCGCAGACCTGCAAGAGAGTTCGCAGTATTGGCTTAGTTTAGTGCATGCAATGGTGAGTGTGTGAGTGCCGTTTGCTCCCCCTTTCTCCCTTTGTGCTGCATCCCCCCGCTCCCACATATCAGACATGGCGAGAGTGATGGTGCTAGCAGCCACCAACCGCCCCTGGGAGCTGTACGAGGCCATTCTCAGCCTCACGGTCTCTCACTCACCCCATGCCCATCCATGAACCCCCGTCTCCCTCCCTCACAGATACTGCGCGGGTGATGGTGCTAGCAGCCACCAACCGCCCCTGGGAGCTGGACGAGGCCATTCTCAGGCGCCTTCCCAGGCACTTTGAAATCCCCCTGCCCGATCTAGCTGGGCGCACGAGCATTTTGGAAGTCATCCTGCGGGTATGTGGGGTGCGAGAGAGTGTGAGGCTATGTGGCGTGGTACAAGGCCTCTCTCAGGCGCCTTCCCCGCCACTTTGAAATACCCCTCCCAGATTTGGCTGGCCGGACCAGCATTCTGGAGGCGATCCTGCGGGTATGTGTAGTGTGAGGGTAGTTATCGCGATGATTGTGAGTTGTGAGGCTGGGTGCGGCAGATGGATTCTCAGGCGCCTGCCTCGCCTCTTTGAGATCTTCTTGCCGGATGTAGCCAGTGGCACCAGCATCCTGCAAGAGATTCTTCGGGCATGTGATGTGATGTGTGAGGTCAGGTATAGTGGCGATTGTGGGCTGTGAGGCTGATACAACACGAGGCCATTCTCAGGCGCCTGCCCAGGCACTTGAGATCCCCCTGCCTGACCTGGCTGGCCAGACCAGCATTCTTAAAGTGATTCTTCGGGTATGTGAGGTGTGAGAGCTGCATGGGAATATTCTGGGCTACCGTGGGGATCAATTCGCTTTCCTGTGCTTCCCATCCCTTGCTTCCTTGAGCTTCCCGAGCGTACCTGGGCTTTCCTGCCCGTTCTGCCCTAGACTACCCTGTTCTTTCCTAGACTACCCTGTTCTACTCTGTTTTACCATGTTTTACCTGTCTATGGTAGAATAGGGTAGTCTAGGGAAGAAGAGGGCAGGAAAGCCTAGGGAAGCCCAGGGATGGGAAGCACAGAGAAGCGTATTGATCCCCACAGTAGCCGTTGTGTTCTCATCTCATGTTTTATCTGCCTCGTTTTCCTCCGTCTTATACTGTCAGGACGTGGACGTGGATGAGGATCTGATTCTGAGAGAAGTTGCGTTGCCGTGTGCGGGATACCACGGGTCGGCCCTCACAGACCTGTGCAAGCAGGCGGCTTACCTGCAGTTTACCCCACCCCTCATTCATTCTTCGTTCCCCTCTTCCATCAACAGGACAGAGGACTTGGATCTGCAAGAAATCGCATCTCCCTGTGCCAGGTACAGCGGGTCAGACCTCGAAGAGCTGTTTCCAGTCTAAGTGTTCCTCCTCTCCCTGTGTCGCCCTACAGGACGAGGACGTGGATGAGGACTTGGACTTGCAGGGGATTGCCTCTCCGTGTGCGGGCTACCGCGGTTCGGACCTCACAGAGCTGTGCAAGCAGGCGGCGTACCCGCAGTCTACACCACCCCTCATTCATTCTTCGCCCCCCTCTCTCTCTCAACAGGACGAGGACGTCGATGATGACCTGGATCTTCAAGAGATTGCCTCTCTGTGCCCGGGCTACAGTGGGTCGGACCTCACAGAGCTGTGCAAGCAGGCGGCATACCTGCCTTTACACGACTTCTTGGAGGATGAGAGGAGAGCACTGCGGGGGGAAGGGAAGGAGCCCACCTCCCAGCGCCCCCTCTCCCGGGCAGACTTCCTCCGCGTGCTCAGCGAGTCCCGACCATCCCGAGATGCTGCCTTCGACTATCTGCGCAAGCGCAGTAACAGCAGCGCCAGCCTGCCGCACCTGGGAGAGGACCCTATGGCTGCCTCTGGCAACTTCCCTGCGTACCCGTACCAAAACGGGGGGGCGCACACGCCGCCGTCCAATCTGTTCGGTGCTCCCACCCCTCCTATGGCTGCTGCTGGTGCTCCACAAGCGGGGCAGCAGGCGGATTTGCTTCGGCTGCTGTTCCAGGCGGCAGTGGCGTCGGCGCTGCAGCCACAAGTGATGCAACCACAAGTGTTACAGCCGCAGGCCATGCAGCAGGGCGTGCAGCAGCAAGGGGTGCCCCAGCAGGCCTTGCAACCACGTGAAGGGGAGTTGGGCTCCGGAAACAGTGCTCCTGCTGGTGCTCCTGCCAGTGCTGGTGGTGCTGCTGGTGCTGCTGCTGGTGCTGCTGGTGCTGCTGGTGGTGCTGGTGCTGCTCCTGCTGATGATGCTATTGGTGCTGGCGGTGGCGGAACGGGCAACAGTGATGCTTCGGGTGATGATAGTGGTAGGTAGCAATTGATGAGGAAGGGGGAGGGAAGGGTAGAGTGGATGGTGCAGCTAGCAGTAGGGCCAGTCCATCCAAGAGTTTTGACGGTATCAGGAAGGTGTGTCGTGTGGTGCATATGCTATTGTGATTTAGCAACAATGATTTTACAAATTGGTGCATGCCATTGCGTTGTGATTCGATAGGTTCACATGGGAGATTATTGCCATTGCGTTGTGATTATTTGGTTTGCAGAAAATCGCGATGTCGCATTCATGTGAGCTGTTTATATGCTGCAATTGTATATCATGTAGGAAACGGTGTGTTTCTAGTCAGCTAATTATGCCTAGTTTGTGGTGCACATCGCGTACATGGAATATTTGGTTCCGTTATTCTTGACTGTGCTAATTGCGGATTCCGTATTTGCGGCCTGCGATATTTGTTCCTTGCTGTGCTGGATGATGACAAGGCCATATCACCCTCTCGCCATTGGAGGTGGTTCAACTTGAAGCTGTGGTCTCTGATGTCCAATGGTGTCGCTTTTGATAACACTTTCCCCGAAATCCAGCGTTGAAGCTGGGTTGGGTTGGTTTGGGAACTTTGGCTGGCCTGGGACGGAGCAGATTTGGGATTATGGTTGGGACACGCAAATCCCAAGGTCAACCAACCATCACATGGTTCCATCCCATCCCATCCCATCCCATCCCATCCCATCCCATCTCATCCCATCCCCAACCCAACCCAACCTATCCGAACCCAGAGCAGCCGTTGGCTGGCGCTGTTCTTTCCAGCCAGGTTGGTGTTGGCTAGCACGAATGAATAAAGCAGGAACTGCTGCCATTCTCAAACCCTCTTTTATCCTTCTTGTAGGAAACTGCTCCCTCGGGTTTTTCGTTTTGTCCCCCATTGCTCATCCATGGCGTGCCTCAGCTTCTCCTGCCGTTCCATGACCCTCATTCGCGCTCCCAGCACCTCCTCCTCCCAGCTCTACCGATTTCAGGCTCCTGATCACGGCGGTAGCGGGGTTAGTTGCTAATAGGCTACCGAATTGAGCATATTGAATCCGTCTTGGATCTTAGGATTATTCCTAAGATCCCAGGAGGACGGAACTGGGAGAAACAGAGAAGCAGGATCCCGCTAGGTCGATGGTAGCGGGCTGAGGGACCAGCATTGCCGTTCCAAGCTCGACTAAGCATGGCGGGGTGAACAGGCTTCTTTCTTCCTCGTAGTTTTCTGATGGCCTTTTAAACGAGGACATAGTTACATTGTTTTCAGGCGCTCTCGTATCTCAGCTTTCAAAGCAAACGCGCTCAGGAACGTTAGGACTTTCGCTCCTATATCGCATTCTCGCATTGCTTTCTTCGCGTAAATAAACAAAGTGCTACCGGGATAGCACTTACTGCTGCAAATCCGATCTTGCCATTTGCCTACCAGAACAGCTGTGCTCCTCAGGGGCCTCCTCAGACAGTTGTGGAAACAGGGGCCTTCTATTGAAACAGAGGCTCTCCATTCGATTCTTCGGGCCTAGTGCTGCCGTTCGTCTCGTCTAAAGTGCACTGCCGACCAGATTCAACGGAAAATGGGGAAGAGTAAGTTTATAATCTTACCCTGCTCTTAGGCTTTCTTTATTCCTTTCTTTCTCATCCTCTTCATTAGATATTATAAGCATCTCCTGCAGGATCTTGAACCTTGCATCTCGTTCGTGAAAAAGGAAGCTAAACGTTGTGATCGAGGATATTGCATCCGTCTTTTCCCTCACAGTTATTCTTGCATTACGTCTATGTGCTCGCTTGCCGGATGAACTCACCTGGTTAATGGACCAGGAAGCTGGGCAACAAGCACACGGACCTCTTAACTTCCACTGTGCACTGCTGTGGTTCTTCAGATTTCGTCCATCATCTCCGCTTCCCGCGCTTAGTACCTGTTCCTTCGTTATGTGGTTCTTGCGGGTTCTGAGCGCGTCGACTACGCGAACGGCACGGCGAGCAACGGCGACTTTTCGGAACGACTGCCTGCTCTGCTGCCACGCCGTCTCCCCGCTCCGTGTGCTGCCTGCTCTGCCTGCTACGCTCTCGAGAGAATAATCCCGCGAGGCGTCATTTGTGGCGCCTCAAAGTCGTTCCGTGTGCTGCCTGCTCTGCCTGTACAGTAGGCAAACATCCTGCTCCCGCTCTTGCAGATCAAGGTTCCCGCGGATTTGGTCGCAGCGACCACGCGGACCTTGCGGACCATGCGGACGATGCGAACAATGCGGACAATGCGAACCACGCCTACGACGCGGACGGCGACGATACGGCGAACAGCGGCGCTCGAAATGACTGGAACGAGGCTTTTGCTTCTTATGCTAATGCATCTCACTCCTCTCCTCTCTTCTCTCTTCCCCCCTCCTTCCCCACCCCCCCCTCCTCCATCTCCCCCGCCCCCACCCTTATCATTTTTTTTCGCAGAGAAGAGTTCTCGCTCGTCGCGCGGCGGCGACGTGGACGACGACGACACGGCGAGCACCGCGTCGTCGTCGAGCGACCTTCCCGCCGTGTATTCTGGCGCGCGCGACGACGTGTACTGCGCGGCGACGGCCACGGAAGCGCTTCTAGACGCGCTGCAGGAGAAGCGGTGAGTGGGTGCGACTCGTGGTGAGGGTGGAATGGGATAAGGCGTGGTGGGACGTGTTGCCGTGTTTTTTTTCTTATGATCCTCACAAGACCCTTACATTGCGCTTCCTCCCTCCGTTCCCCTCCCCCCTCCCCGCCTCCCGTCTTTCTCCCTCTCTCTCCCATCCGTATGGTTGTGCCTCTGCCAGATCCACAACGCGCGAGGCGGCACTCAAGGGGCTAGCGACCACTCTAGCGTCGCAAGTGCACGGGGAGCTAGTGCAGGACAAGTAAGGCTTCTAACGGGGGGGTGGGGCGGGGAAGAGGGGAAGGGGTGTGGTTTGTGTGTGTGCGCGAGTGTGGTGGCGGGTGTGTGCGCGCGTGTGTGTGCATGTGTGTGCGCGTGTATGCGCGTTTGACACCCTCTCGCAGGCTGTTCTCGCCTATCACACTTCCTCTCTAGTGTTTCATACCCGATCAACTCAGTATACTCTTCCCTTCCTCCCGCCCCTTCCAATACCCCCAGGTTCGACACTCTCACGCAGGGCTTCCTCTCGTGCCTCAGGAAGGGCAAGGCCCCGGAACAAGTTCTCGCTGCCCGATGCCTTGGTGAGTGCTCCCTGCTCTAGCTCCTCTCCTCGCCCCTGTCTCGTCTCTTCACCCTCCCCTTCTCCCTCTTCCTCCTGAAGATGGTTCTCCTTTCTCTGTCTCCCGTTCCAACCACACGTCGGCTGGCTCTTATTTTAGGTGCTTCTGACTCATGTAAGGAGCTGCTCTCCTCGTCCCTGCCTTGTATGTTCCCCTCCTCCCTCCCCTCTCCTCGCCACCCTCCCGCTCCCTTTCCTCCCCCCCTTCCCCCCCCCCTTCCCCTCTCTATCCCCCTACCTCTCCACCACATCGCCTCTCGATTCCCATCCGTTATCCTCAAGGTGGCTCGTCTTTCTCTTTTTTCCCCTTCTTCCCCACCCCTACCCCCCACCTCAGGTCTGCTGGCGCTCACATTAGGGGCGTCTGACTCGTGTGAAGAGCTGCTCTCCTCGTCGCTGCCGCATCTGAGCAAGCTGGCTCGCGCTGCTGGCTGCGCCGCCACCCGCGTTGCTGTGAGTGGGGCAATTAAGAGAATGGGGAAGGAGGGGAGGATGGGAGGGAGGGAGGGAGGGAAGGAGTGAGGGAGGGAGGGAGGGTGGGAGGGAGTTAGGGAGGGAAGGAGTGGGGGGTAACGCACATAACACAGAAGAAAGGACCCGTTCTGATGCACCTCGCAACGCCCCTCTACTCCCTGTCCCGCTCCTCGCCTTTTCCCTCCTCTCGCTTCCCTCTCCTTGTCTCTTCCTCTCGCTTCCCTCTCCTTGTCTCCTCGCCCTTTCCTCGCCTCCCCCCTCTCCCGTCCCTCGCTTAATCCCTCTACTCCCTCCCCTCGCCTTGCCCCCTCCTCGCCCGTCCCTTGCTTAATTCCTCTTCTCCCTTCCCTCGTCTTATCCCTCCTCTCTCTTACCCCCGCCTCTCCCTTCGTTCGCCTTGCCCGTCCTCTCCTTCCTCCCTCCTGTGGACTTCGCTTTCCCCTCGTCACCTCCTCCCTCCAGTGTGTAGACGCCATGGCCATCATCACGTTCGTGGGAGCCATGGACGCACACGCCACGGAGGAGAGAGAGGACTCACTTTTGAGTCGACTCAAAAGTCACGTTCGTGGGGGCCATGGACGCACACACCACGGAAGAGAGTGATGACTCACTTTTGAGTCGACTCATAAGTCACCTTCGTGGGGGCCATGGACGCACACTCCACGGAGGAGAGAGAGGACTCACCCTTCGCCTTGTCTCCCGCCTCTCATCACCTCTTCCCCCTTTACAGTGTTTAGACGCCATCGACATCATCACGTTCGTGGAGGCCATGGCCGCGCACGCCACGGAGGAGAGAACGGACTCATTCTGATCCACCGCCCCTTCTCCTCCCCTCCCCTCCTTCCTCCCTCTGATCACCTCCCACCCCTCTCCAGTGTCTAGACGCCATGGCCATCATCACCTTCGTGGGGGCCATGGACGCACACGCCACGGAGGAGAGCATGGGCCTGCTGTGGCTCGTCGCCAACCCACAGGTGAGGCTCAGGGTCTAGCTTCAAGCGCGAGAGTTTGGGCTTGAGTAATCGCACATGCCACTGACAAGAGCATGGGCCTGCTCTGGCTTGTCGCCGACCCGCAGGTAAGAAGAGACAGGGCTTGATGGTCAGGGTTTGGGTTGTAAGTGCGAGCGTTTGGGCTTTAGCCTCTAAGAATCACAGATGCACCGGAGGAGAGCATGGGCCTGCTCTGGCTTGTCGCCAACCCGCAGGTGAGGCTGAGGGTTCAGGTTTCAAGCTCAGGATCCAAGCGTGAGGCTTTGAGGTTCACAGTCACTAGGTGCTACAAGGGAGAGCACGACCCTGCTGTATCGCTCGCAGTAAACCCTTAAGTGAGTCGTCTGGTTTGGCTGGTCGTTTTATTTGGGGACGAAGTGACATTTGAAGCAACCTCGTTCGGCTGGTTGTGGTATTTGGGGACGAAAGAATGACCATGCCACAAGGGAGTTCCTAGGCTGGAGAATAGATCTGCTGCTGGGCGCCAACTAGATAGCTGTACCCCCTTTTCCATGCAGCGCACTCATCACCCCCTGCACCCTTCTCCCCCCTCATTCTCTTCTTTCTTTCTGTTCTCAGGGCACCAGCAAGGCAGTGGTGCCGGCGGCAGTGAGGGGATCAGCCATCAGCAACTGGACACTGCTGCTCTCCACGCTGCCCACCTCGCAGCTCTCGCAGTTCCACACCCGCAGGTGCGTTGCGTGAGCTCCTTGAATGAACTTGCGTGCATCAACAGTGCTCCCCTCTCGTACCTCTAGTGTCGAGGCTCTTGCAACTTGACCCTGCTGCTTTTGTGGCGCCTCAAAAGTGGGCTCTTGCAACTTGACCCTGCTGCTTTTGTGGCGCCTCAAAAGTGGGCTCTTGCAACTTGACCCTGCTGCTTTTGTGGCGCCTCAAAAGTGGGCTCTTGCAACTTGACCCTGCTGCTTTTGTGGCGCCTCAAAAGTGGGCTCTTGCAACTTGACCCTGCTGCTTTTGTGGCGCCTCAAAAGTGGGCTCTTGCAACTTGACCCTGCTGCTTTTGTGGCGCCTCAAAAGTGGGCTCTTGCAACTTGACCCTGCTGCTTTTGTGGCGCCTCAAAAGTGGGCTCTTGCAACTTGACCCTGCTGCTTTTGTGGCGCCTCAAAAGTGGGCTCTTGAAACTTGACCCTGCTGCTTTTGTGGCGCCTCAAAAGTGGGCTCTTGCAACTTGACCCTGCTGCTTTTGTGGCGCCTCAAAAGTGGGCTCTTGCAACTTGACCCTGCTGCTTTTGTGGCGCCTCAAAAGTGGGCTCTTGCAACTTGACCCTGCTGCTTTTGTGGCGCCTCAAAAGTGGGCTCTTGCAACTTGACCCTGCTGCTTTTGTGGCGCCTCAAAAGTGGGCTCTTGCAACTTGACCCTGCTGCTTTTGTGGCGCCTCAAAAGTGGGCTCTTGCAACTTGACCCTGCTGCTTTTGTGGCGCCTCAAAAGTGGGCTCTTGCAACTTGACCCTGCTGCTTTTGTGGCGCCTCAAAAGTGGGCTCTTGCAACTTGACCCTGCTGCTTTTGTGGCGCCTCAAAAGTGGGCTCTTGCAACTTGACCCTGCTGCTTTTGTGGCGCCTCAAAAGTGGGCTCTTGCAACTTGACCCTGCTGCTTTTGTGGCGCCTCAAAAGTGGGCTCTTGCAACTTGACCCTGCTGCTTTTGTGGCGCCTCAAAAGTGGGCTCTTGCAACTTGACCCTGCTGCTTTTGTGGCGCCTCAAAAGTGGGCTCTTGCAACTTGACCCTGCTGCTTTTGTGGCGCCTCAAAAGTGGGCTCTTGCAACTTGACCCTGCTGCTTTTGTGGCGCCTCAAAAGTGGGCTCTTGCAACTTGACCCTGCTGCTTTTGTGGCGCCTCAAAAGTGGGCTCTTGCAACTTGACCCTGCTGCTTTTGTGGCGCCTCAAAAGTGGGCTCTTGCAACTTGACCCTGCTGCTTTTGTGGCGCCTCAAAAGTGGGCTCTTGCAACTTGACCCTGCTGCTTTTGTGGCGCCTCAAAAGTGGGCTCTTGCAACTTGACCCTGCTGCTTTTGTGGCGCCTCAAAAGTGGGCTCTTGCAACTTGACCCTGCTGCTTTTGTGGCGCCTCAAAAGTGGGCTCTTGCAACTTGACCCTGCTGCTTTTGTGGCGCCTCAAAAGTGGGCTCTTGCAACTTGACCCTGCTGCTTTTGTGGCGCCTCAAAAGTGGGCTCTTGCAACTTGACCCTGCTGCTTTTGTGGCGCCTCAAAAGTGGGCTCTTGCAACTTGACCCTGCTGCTTTTGTGGCGCCTCAAAAGTGGGCTCTTGCAACTTGACCCTGCTGCTTTTGTGGCGCCTCAAAAGTGGGCTCTTGCAACTTGACCCTGCTGCTTTTGTGGCGCCTCAAAAGTGGGCTCTTGCAACTTGACCCTGCTGCTTTTGTGGCGCCTCAAAAGTGGGCTCTTGCAACTTGACCCTGCTGCTTTTGTGGCGCCTCAAAAGTGGGCTCTTGTAACTTGACCCTGCTGCTTTTGTGGCGCCTCAAAAGTGGGCTCTTGCAACTTGACCCTGCTGCTTTTGTGGCGCCTCAAAAGTGGGCTCTTGCAACTTGACCCTGCTGCTTTTGTGGCGCCTCAAAAGTGGGCTCTTGCAACTTGACCCTGCTGCTTTTGTGGCGCCTCAAAAGTGGGCTCTTGCAACTTGACCCTGCTGCTTTTGTGGCGCCTCAAAAGTGGGCTCTTGCAACTTGACCCTGCTGCTTTTGTGGCGCCTCAAAAGTGGGCTCTTGCAACTTGACCCTGCTGCTTTTGTGGCGCCTCAAAAGTGGGCTCTTGCAACTTGACCCTGCTGCTTTTGTGGCGCCTCAAAAGTGGGCTCTTGCAACTTGACCCTGCTGCTTTTGTGGCGCCTCAAAAGTGGGCTCTTGCAACTTGACCCTGCTGCTTTTGTGGCGCCTCAAAAGTGGGCTCTTGCAACTTGACCCTGCTGCTTTTGTGGCGCCTCAAAAGTGGGCTCTTGCAACTTGACCCTGCTGCTTTTGTGGCGCCTCAAAAGTGGGCTCTTGCAACTTGACCCTGCTGCTTTTGTGGCGCCTCAAAAGTGGGCTCTTGCAACTTGACCCTGCTGCTTTTGTGGCGCCTCAAAAGTGGGCTCTTGCAACTTGACCCTGCTGCTTTTGTGGCGCCTCAAAAGTGGGCTCTTGCAACTTGACCCTGCTGCTTTTGTGGCGCCTCAAAAGTGGGCTCTTGCAACTTGACCCTGCTGCTTTTGTGGCGCCTCAAAAGTGGGCTCTTGCAACTTGACCCTGCTGCTTTTGTGGCGCCTCAAAAGTGGGCTCTTGAACTTGACCCTGCTGCTTTTGTGGCGCCTCAAAAGTGGGCTCTTGCAACTTGACCCTGCTGCTTTTGTGGCGCCTCAAAAGTGGGCTCTTGCAACTTGACCCTGCTGCTTTTGTGGCGCCTCAAAAGTGGGCTCTTGCAACTTGACCCTGCTGCTTTTGTGGCGCCTCAAAAGTGGGCTCTTGCAACTTGACCCTGCTGCTTTTGTGGCGCCTCAAAAGTGGGCTCTTGCAACTTGACCCTGCTGCTTTTGTGGCGCCTCAAAAGTGGGCTCTTGCAACTTGACCCTGCTGCTTTTGTGGCGCCTCAAAAGTGGGCTCTTGCAACTTGACCCTGCTGCTTTTGTGGCGCCTCAAAAGTGGGCTCTTGCAACTTGACCCTGCTGCTTTTGTGGCGCCTCAAAAGTGGGCTCTTGCAACTTGACCCTGCTGCTTTTGTGGCGCCTCAAAAGTGGGCTCTTGCAACTTGACCCTGCTGCTTTTGTGGCGCCTCAAAAGTGGGCTCTTGCAACTTGACCCTGCTGCTTTTGTGGCGCCTCAAAAGTGGGCTCTTGCAACTTGACCCTGCTGCTTTTGTGGCGCCTCAAAAGTGGGCTCTTGCAACTTGACCCTGCTGCTTTTGTGGCGCCTCAAAAGTGGGCTCTTGCAACTTGACCCTGCTGCTTTTGTGGCGCCTCAAAAGTGGGCTCTTGCAACTTGACCCTGCTGCTTTTGTGGCGCCTCAAAAGTGGGCTCTTGCAACTTGACCCTGCTGCTTTTGTGGCGCCTCAAAAGTGGGCTCTTGCAACTTGACCCTGCTGCTTTTGTGGCGCCTCAAAAGTGGGCTCTTGCAACTTGACCCTGCTGCTTTTGTGGCGCCTCAAAAGTGGGCTCTTGCAACTTGACCCTGCTGCTTTTGTGGCGCCTCAAAAGTGGGCTCTTGCAACTTGACCCTGCTGCTTTTGTGGCGCCTCAAAAGTGGGCTCTTGCAACTTGACCCTGCTGCTTTTGTGGCGCCTCAAAAGTGGGCTCTTGCAACTTGACCCTGCTGCTTTTGTGGCGCCTCAAAAGTGGGCTCTTGCAACTTGACCCTGCTGCTTTTGTGGCGCCTCAAAAGTGGGCTCTTGCAACTTGACCCTGCTGCTTTTGTGGCGCCTCAAAAGTGGGCTCTTGCAACTTGACCCTGCTGCTTTTGTGGCGCCTCAAAAGTGGGCTCTTGCAACTTGACCCTGCTGCTTTTGTGGCGCCTCAAAAGTGGGCTCTTGCAACTTGACCCTGCTGCTTTTGTGGCGCCTCAAAAGTGGGCTCTTGCAACTTGACCCTGCTGCTTTTGTGGCGCCTCAAAAGTGGGCTCTTGCAACTTGACCCTGCTGCTTTTGTGGCGCCTCAAAAGTGGGCTCTTGCAACTTGACCCTGCTGCTTTTGTGGCGCCTCAAAAGTGGGCTCTTGCAACTTGACCCTGCTGCTTTTGTGGCGCCTCAAAAGTGGGCTCTTGCAACTTGACCCTGCTGCTTTTGTGGCGCCTCAAAAGTGGGCTCTTGCAACTTGACCCTGCTGCTTTTGTGGCGCCTCAAAAGTGGGCTCTTGCAACTTGACCCTGCTGCTTTTGTGGCGCCTCAAAAGTGGGCTCTTGCAACTTGACCCTGCTGCTTTTGTGGCGCCTCAAAAGTGGGCTCTTGCAACTTGACCCTGCTGCTTTTGTGGCGCCTCAAAAGTGGGCTCTTGCAACTTGACCCTGCTGCTTTTGTGGCGCCTCAAAAGTGGGCTCTTGCAACTTGACCCTGCTGCTTTTGTGGCGCCTCAAAAGTGGGCTCTTGCAACTTGACCCTGCTGCTTTTGTGGCGCCTCAAAAGTGGGCTCTTGCAACTTGACCCTGCTGCTTTTGTGGCGCCTCAAAAGTGGGCTCTTGCAACTTGACCCTGCTGCTTTTGTGGCGCCTCAAAAGTGGGCTCTTGCAACTTGACCCTGCTGCTTTTGTGGCGCCTCAAAAGTGGGCTCTTGCAACTTGACCCTGCTGCTTTTGTGGCGCCTCAAAAGTGGGCTCTTGCAACTTGACCCTGCTGCTTTTGTGGCGCCTCAAAAGTGGGCTCTTGCAACTTGACCCTGCTGCTTTTGTGGCGCCTCAAAAGTGGGCTCTTGCAACTTGACCCTGCTGCTTTTGTGGCGCCTCAAAAGTGGGCTCTTGCAACTTGACCCTGCTGCTTTTGTGGCGCCTCAAAAGTGGGCTCTTGCAACTTGACCCTGCTGCTTTTGTGGCGCCTCAAAAGTGGGCTCTTGCAACTTGACCCTGCTGCTTTTGTGGCGCCTCAAAAGTGGGCTCTTGCAACTTGACCCTGCTGCTTTTGTGGCGCCTCAAAAGTGGGCTCTTGCAACTTGACCCTGCTGCTTTTGTGGCGCCTCAAAAGTGGGCTCTTGCAACTTGACCCT